CAGTTGTGTACCACCACACCCAGCTCACTAAGCATTTTTAATATATACTATTTCCCAAACTTTGTATAACCACCAGAACCCACAAATAAGTGTAATGCTCCTGCTTGAAATAAACTCATTTTCTAATGTGGATAGTAGATGTTCGATATTAGTCAAATATTGCCTTTTCATAGACAATCATAAAATATGATAGGGATAAGTTCAACCCAAGGAGGTTACAAAAATCTGAGGAGGATTAACTGACCAAATATGAGAGGTTCAGGCTAGGACTGTGGAAGAAATAATGCCCAAGAGGTATCTTAGAGAATTAGGAAAATATTCCAGACAGAAGGAAAAATGTGAGCAAAACCAGAAAGCACAGCCGGGCATGGTGGCGCACATCTACGGTCCCAGCACTCGGGGGGCTGAGGCAGAATTGTTGAGAGTTCAAGGCCAGCCTGGGCTACAAAGTGAGTTCAAGGCCAGGCCGGACTACATAGCAAGACCTGTCTCAAGGGGAAAAGAAAGAAAGAAAGGTGAGGGGGAGAGAGAGAGAGAGAGAGAGAGAGAGAGAGAGAGAGAGAGAGAGAGAGAGAGAGAGCAAAACAGTTCTGTGATGCTGGAAGAGAGATCTGCTCTGACATGTCGGTGGTTACTCTCAGAGGGGGAGGATATGAATGTACCTCCACTGGCTGACCTTCGAGAGTGACTCAAGAGAGAGCAGGAAGGTACTGGAAACAAGCAGCCAACCCCTCTTCCAGGAAGTGGGGATTCTCCTTACCAGGAAGGTGCTGTGTTAATGTTCCAAGACTCCGGTAAGGAGTTTCTAATCATCGGCATGAATGACAGACTGTTGCCAAATGTTCTGAAGATACTACCCTAACCCTGCGTTGCTCCTGGGAAGGTTGAAACCTTAGACAAATATCTTCCCTTTCAGTTTCAGTGGTTTTTAAAATTTCAGCTACATTGTGCTTTCTGTTGTTGGGACAAATACTTAAAATACACAATTCAAAGGCAGAAAGGTTTACTTTGGCTCACTGTGTCAGAGGTTCCAGTCCATGGTCACCTGGCTCTGTTGTTTCTAGGCTTGTGGTGAGGCAGAAATATGGCGGAAGGGCATGGAGGAGGAAAGCTGCTCCATGGGGGAGGGGCTGGTGACAAAATGCACCCTGCAAAGCCACACCCCCAGCAGGGTGTGGCAGTGCATACCTGCAATACTACCATTCAAGAGGCTGAGGCAGGAGGATCACCATGAGTTTGAGGCCAGCCTGGGCTACATAGACCCTGTCTCAACAAAACAAATCAAAAACAAAGCCATATCCCCAGTGACTGGCTTCGTTCAATCAGATCCCCCCTCCTAATAGCAGTCATGAACTCATCAATTGTCCAATAATGAAGTTAGAGCCCTTATCATCCAGTCACCTTCCAAAACACCCTCAGGTGGCAGCCAAGGCCTCAAAACTGAGCTTTTGGGGACATTTTAGGTAACAACCATAACAGGCATAGCTTTGTATTTATGAGCTTGGACCAGATAATATCAAAAGTATCTTCCCATTCTTTGGCTGCTATCAATCTGTGAGTAGCGAGTTAATGTGGGGAATGTGTAACAAGAATATGGTCTCTGTTTGCGTTGAAATGGAAACTGTTAGGAAGTGAGTGCTCTACACTAAAGACCAGAAATGGTATAATTTCAAGATGTTATTCAACATGTTTTCAATGTTTTATTTCCTGGATGTAGTGGTGCATGTCTATAATCCCAGCACTTAGAAAGCTGAGGCAGGAGGATCGCCACAAGTTCGAGGCCAGCCTGGGCTACAAAATGAGACCCTGTCTTGCAACCACTGTGGAAGTCAGTATGGAGATACCTCAAAGAACTAGGACTGGAAGTCTCATTTGACCCAGCTATCACCCTGTCTTCCCCAAAGAATTAAAAGAATCATACCACAGTGATATATGTGCACCCATGTTCATAGCAGCACAGTTTGTAATAGCTAAAGCTTGGAAACAGCACAAGTGTCCATCAACTGGAAACTGGATAAAGAAGATGTGTTTTTTCTTATAACATGGAGTACTACTCAGCCATAAAAAATGAGAAATTAGAGACATTTATAGCTAAATGGATGCACAATTGAGGCAATAAGTGAAATAAATAGAACACTCGGGCTGGGGATTTAGCTCAGTGGTTTCGCCGCCTGCTGCGCAAGGGTAAGGACCAGAGTTTGATCCCTGGTACCAAATAAATAAATAAATAAATAAATAGGACACACATGTGTAAATACCGAATAGTTTCTCTAGTGTGAGGAACTGAAAGTGTAAATAAGGATTAAAAAGTATAATAGATAATGTGAAATAGGAAGAAAAGGGGCAAAGGGGAAGGGGAAGTGGGAGGGGTAAGGGAAAGGAAAGAAGGGAATGGAATTAATGAGAAAATGGAAACAGTCTTTGTAAATACGGAGGGATGGAGGAGTTGAAGGGAGGGCAGGGGAAGGAGGAAAAGTAAGAACCTAGAAACATTATGTAAAGGTGCAAATTTCCAATGATGAACGTCATTATATTGTGTACCTAAAATATTGTAGACCCTGTCTCAAAAAACTAAAATGTTTTACTTTTTTTTTGGTACCGGGGATTGAACTTGGGACCTTCCGCTTGCGAGTTTTACTATTTTTAAATTGAGTGACATTCCTGTAACATTTGCTAATTGTTTATTTTGAGCAACATGAATATACTACTATTCAATTAAACTTGTTCACAAAGAAAAATGGAACATTTTTTGAGGGTTCTCAGGCGTTAACAGCCAAAGACAAATTCCTAAACCAGCTGTTCTATGCCACCTAGTGACAACTCCATAAATTACACTTATTAGGCTAGGAAAGAATTAAATTCCTCATGGTATTGTCCTTGGATTTTAGGGTAAACATTTTGGGGGGAACTTATTTTTCCCCTTGTATAAATAAATTCCAGCTGCAGTCACTGAAAAGCTTTTCGATAAAATTTTGATATATTTCCATGAGAATTAACAGTCTCATTGCTAATGCTTCAGACTTTGTTTAGACTTCTGAGGTGACTCATAATTTCAGGTATGACAGTCTTTGCTTGATCAAACTTTGTCAGGGCCCTGAACCTTCTCCTAGCCCCGCCCCTGTACTTCCTTTCAGAATCTGACAAAGAATGCTGCTTAGTTAGTTTAGCAGGAACTTCCTCCCCTTGATATCTGATCAGGTTGTTCATCTTCCACCTGCCAGCTGATGTCTGCTCACCCTGGCCTGACCTCAGCAAGAATGCCGTTAAGTCCCTTTACCCAGAATCCTCTTTACCCTGAGGCTTCCTCTTACTTATCTGTCATCCCGACGCTGTCTTTGTACATTTTGTGCTGGAGTAACAGAATGTCTGAGACTGGGTACTTTATAAACAACAGATTTCTTTCTTACAGTTGTAGAGCCTGGTGGCGGGGGGGGGGGTCCATGGCCAAGGGTCCCATACCTAGCAGGGGCCTCCTGCTGCATTGTCCTGGCAGAGGCAGGCAGGCAGGATAGAGGAAGGGGGACCAATTCTTTCATCAGGAACCCATTCACGTCACAACTAACCCACTCCTGTGAGAATGCCATTAATCCATTCACCAGGGCAGAGCTTTTGTGACCCAGTTACCTCTTCAGGTTCCCACCTCCCAACACTCCCACTCTGGGGATTAAGTTTCCAACACATGAACTCTATGGAGACGCAAACCATGGCAGACCCCAGCCTTCTTGGCTATAATTCCCACTTGCATATGCTGGACTTGGAACTCAGGCCAACATCTCTCCAGGGCAAGATTGTGGTAGTGGTCTCTGTACCTATCATAGGGTCCTGAAAAATGCTTCCTTTATCACTGAATGCTTTCTTCAGTAGCAGGTTGTCTTAGTTACTTTCCTGCCACTCAGACACAATACCCAATACCCACAACCTAGATGAGGAAAGGTTTATCTTGGATCACAGGTTTAAAGGTTTCAGTCCATGGTTGGCTGGGTCCAAGGCAGGGGGCATCACAGAGGAGAAACAGTCCATGGCATGGTGGGCAGGAGGCACAGAGGGATCAAGGGAGGAGGAGGGAGATCATGCCCCAGTGACCACCTCCTCTCACCAGGATTCACCTCCCACATCACATTCGGCTGTAAACTCATCAGAGGACTAATTCTCTGCTGAGTATCACACACTCATGGTCCTTTCACCTCCTTAAAACCCCTCCTATGAGTGTGGGAGGCTTTGGGGGGCATCTGGACACTATAAACCATAACACAGGTACTATCTAGGTAAATAAATGATTTTCCAATTTAAAGAAATTTTGAGATAAAATTTTTCTTCTTTCATATAATATGTATATGTGTATGTATTTAGATAGGTGAGATAGATGTATTTCAAGACTGAAAGCCATTCTGAGACCTTTCTATTTCTGAAAATCTTTCCTTCCTATTTATAAGTGGATTGTAACTGCTTTTTTTTTTGTAAAGGTAAGACCTGGAACCCAGACAGGGCCTCAGGTACCATACCAATGAGGCTCAGAAAAGCTGTGGCATTTAACATTTTAATGTTTACTGTGAGTCATATAAAGAACTTTTTAAATAAAACACTACTAGCACACACCTGTAATCCCAGCACTCTGGGAGGCTGAGGCAGGAGGAGTGCAAGTTCAAGCCTACCCTGGGGAACTTAAGGATACAGTGAGATCCTGTCTCAAAACAAAAAATATATATTTATTTTTTGTTACTGGGAATCAAACTCAGGACTTTGCCAGGCAGGCATGGCACCACTGAGCTCTATCCCTGGCCCAAAACAATAAAAACATTTTTTAAAAGGCTGGAGATGTACCTCAGTACAACGGCACAGGGTTCAATCTCTAGTACTGCAAACAAACAAACAAACAAACAAATAAATAAAATGGTACATTTCTGCCAAGACAGTAGTGACCAAAAAATTTCAGTGAACTGGCTTTAGTCTGCACTCTTTCAAACTTACTGTAAGGAAAAAGTAAACCTTATACATACACATGGTATATTAGTTTTTCCAACTTTATTGTACATTAAGAATGACACCTTTTAAATACAATACTGTTTTAAGAGACAGAAAAATCATATAAGCCTATAAACACTTTGACGAATTATTAGTCAAAGTCTCAAAACTACCTTCTACACAAAACTGACCAGTGAGACAGTTAAATTCGTAGCCTTCAGCTACAAAGAATTAAACTACATTCACTTTCACCTTCTAGTGAAAAATAACCTACTCTCAAAAAACAGCACAAGCAATGCTAAGGGAGTGCAGCTCCTAAATGAAAATACGGGCTGACTTATAGTTTACTGGAATAACCCTAAGAAGCCTTTGAAACATCAGCCATGGATCGAAGTATTTACATGACTTAATCTTAGACTGAAAAGTAACACAGGTCTTTAGCCTTCTTTAAGGAAATGCTGAAATTAAACTTCAGTTACAACCAATCAAGACTTGCATTCAGAAAGGTCCCTTAAATATCAAATTTCTCTTCACAGATACTGTGTCCATTTTCTTCATAGTCCTCTCTCGTCACCACCATATCTTCAAAGTCATCGTTCTCTGATATCAACTTTCCACCTTCCCAGGCATAAGTAATAGGGCTGAAAACAAAGGTAAAATAAATGAACTAAGATCATTTTACAGAAATTGTCAATGGATAATTTACAGAAATGAACAACCGAAATGCCTGAAACAGTAATTACTAAAATGTTGCAAGGTCTACCCAACTTAAAAGAAAAATCATTTAAGATATACAAGTGCTATGAATTTTCTCTTATCCCCCCAATTTATATACCCTCTACTTCCAATGAAAAAACAAAAATACAAGGAAAAGAGCAAAAGATGACTAATAGGAAAAACAATGTTGTAAGTCTAAATCCTGTTTGTGGCAAAGATATGTCCTCTGATTAATTGCTATGGCAACTCAAGATATGGCTACTAACCCTCCCTTTCAAAAACTCCCATTTAATAGATGTGAAAAAAGAGTTTTGAGAGGTACAATGGGAACTACAATTTAGTCTGGCCTAGGATTTAAATCAAAGTGTTTCTAGTCTACATTTTTGCTGCTACACTTTGTTGCCTTTAATAAATGAAACACCTCAGCTAGGCTTGGTGATGCCTTTTTTTTTTAATTTATTGAGATAACGTCTCACTAAATTGCTAAATTGCTGCCTAGGCTGGCCTCAGACTTTTCTATTCTCCTGCCTCAGCTTCCCGGAGCGTCAAGATGATAGACCTGTGCCATCATACCTAGGTAAAAATTTAAAATTTTGTTTTGTGAGAGAGTCTTGCTATGCAGTTCTGGCTGGCCTTGAATTCTGTGATAGTCTTGCCTAGGCTCCTGAGTGCTGGATTACAGGCGTGTCCACCATGCCTGGCTTTTTAGTTTTAAAAAATTCCAGAACAAGTTATGGATTGGCATAATTTCCTCTTAATGGCTTAATTTCTAAATTTCTATTTTTTTGATAAAAATAGATACAAACTTGATTTCTTTGCCTATCAAAATCTCTTAGGAACAAAGGCTCATACAAAACGGATTTAACTTTTTAATTTAGTTTAGTTATTTTCTTGGTACTGGGGACTGAACTATATAGCCTAAGTCCCTTTTATACATTTTATTTTGCAATATGGTTTATCACTAAATCACCAAGTTGCTCAGGCTGGACTCAGACTTGTGATCCTCAAGCCTCAGCCTCCAGGCGGAAGGAGTCTAATGTTAACTGAGCACTTGCTACGTGAGAAATGTTATTGTTGGCACTTTGCACTTCATGCCATTCAATTCAGACATCTAAAGTTTATCACTTCCATTTTTGAAAAAGGAAAACGAGAGCTCAATAGGTGAAATAAACCTGCCAGTGTGGCAGAAACAGCTTTGAACTCAGGTCTTCGTATAGACCACCTTGTCCATGACAGGATGTCCACGTTTCATTTCCACGTAAATGACACTTACTTCTCAGGCAGCACAACCGAAACATCATAATCTGTGGGAGTAAGACATCGAACTTCTGAGTAGACGCGATCTCTAAATCCTGGAAAAAGGGAATTTCCGCCTGTCAAAACGATGTTCTTAAAAAAATGTGGCTGCATTTCTTTAAGAGAAAAAAGAAAAGAGAATAGGAAGGAAAAAAGCATTAGGAAATCTGCTTACTCATCTTTCTGGAAAGACACAAATGGGAGTTAGGTAAGATCTGATTGTGGATTACAATTCCTCATTGGGAAACCATATCATTTTTAGGTCCACAGTTTGTAATAAGGTTATAGTTTACACAGATGGAGACATGAAACAGTAAAATATGACCAAACAAATCATTAACAGAAAAAGCTCAGCTGAGGGATGGAAGAGCTACTGACCACTTACACACACACGTGAGCCACACACAGAAGATAAACATCGTGGCAGACCTTTGCTCTTTCTAACCCTTCTTCCCCATCATGGAGAAGGTCCACTCTAGGCTGAGAGTAGAAGCTACTCTAAGAGTGAAATGGTCTTTCATGATAAACTTTTTAACTTGCAGGCCCAAATTCCGACGTTATATAAGACAGACATATTTATTGTTCAGTACTTAGCTTTGATAGTGAGAAAACAGTCTATAATGACATGTAAAGCAAGACTCGAAGTGTAAATAAATACCCATTAAGATACATGCCGACAACACAAAGTACCACCACGTGAGCCAGGAAAAGCCCCACCAGAAAATCCACCAGGAACGAATGGGTGCCGGCCACCCCACCTAGAGCTTCTGCCATCAACACAGTTCCCTCATATTGACATTGAAGATTTGTGACACAACACCCATGTGGTGTAGTACAAAATGTTGTACAGGTTCTGATCACAACTTTATATAAAATGTGAAATTAATACTGAGAATAGTTGTGAAATAATTGTTAACATGATAGCATTTATGTGACTTTCTTTTTTTAAAAGGAGACGAAAACACGCTATACGTGGATGTGTTAGGCTTTCTTCAATGCCTAGACTGTTCCTTGTGAAGCAGGAAGATAAGATGTAAAAGTACTATAAAGGACTTGAGGGCATTTACTTAAATCATGCTTCAAGAGAAACTGGAAGTCACTTGGAAGTGCCATACTTCAATCTCCTTAAAACTAATCCTGTATGTTAGTCCAAGTACGTAATACAGAATAAGCCAGTCCCATCAATACCCCCAAACCATTACATTCTAAATTTCTATTCTGTACAGATTTTGGTTAAAAAAAAAAAAGAAAAATTTTTTTTGAGTCAGGGGCTTGCAATGTTTTTCAGGCTGGCTTTCAACTCACTATGTAGCCCAGACTGACCTCGAACTCATAGCAATCCTCCTGCCTCAGCCTCCTGAGTGCTAGGATCACAGGTGTGTGCCACCAGACCTGGCTTGGTTACAGCTAGAGTCCAAGGCCAGCCTGTATTACATAGCGAGATCCTGTCTTTAAAAAAAACAATACTTTTCTTAGATGATTACAGCAACTGAATATTCATGCAAAGATAGATTTCTTCATGTTTAAACAGTTCATGATACTTTAAAATAAAACTTATAAGCCAAGACAAATCAAGTAAGAGATACTCAAGGGCATTATGGGAATTGGAAATCTACAAATAAAACAGACAACATTTGCCTGAAATCATTTAGGAGAAACAGTGTTCCACGAACTCATGATTTTTGAAAAATATCCTTATTCTTCAATATTTTACTATAATTTATGTACCTTCAGGCAAGTTTTGAATGGAATAGACTATAGCCTCTGGAATTCCCATTTCTTGGATGCCTATGTCCGAAGGGTTAAAGAGTATTTCTGGAACAGCGAATCTTTCATTGGCCAGACGGAGAATTTGTTCCCCAGATTTGTATTTTCCACTCAAGACCATCTCTTCCCTTGGCTTAAAGAAAAATGAGATGAGAAGGTTAAGTTACATTATCCACTTCACATGACTGATAATCATCACTAAGATTTAGTAATGCTAACATCTTGGCTATGTTCTCGGAAGTGTCCAGTCTCAAAAGTTAAAATATGGCTTTCCTTCCTGTTGCCAGAAATACACACAAAAATGTTGCTGACTCTAATTTGTAATTCCCTGCAAAATAACCTAGTAGCTTTATTGTAGCCATTTTAAAAAAGAAAAGAACATAGAAGATGGAACTTCACAGTATATGTACAATGGTATACCGATTCAAATTTCTAGAGAACATACACTCAATAAAAAACCCTTACTGTATCTTGTGTTTCTATCACTATCAACTTCATTCCCTGACTTTGGATGTTTATTGGACATGTAGCTCTGTTATATTAGGATTTCTTCTTTTCCTTGTGTAAAAAGCCTACCTCTTAGTTGAGCACGATAACCCACACTTGTAATCCCAGCACTTTGGGAGGCTAAGGCAGGAGAATCTCAAGTTTTTCCCAGCCTGGGCAACTTAGTGATTCAGCAAGAAGCCATGGGGCTGAGGATATAGCTCAGTGTGAAGGCCCAGGGTTTAATGCCCGGGACGGGGTGGGGGTGGTGGGGTGAGGGGATCAGTTTTCAAATTATTTAAGCAAATACATCATCTTTGACCTTGAAGTTACTGTAAAATGCCAACTCTGTATAAAGCCTAAGTACAGCAAACACAAATTTGAAGCAAAGCTGATTCATATTCTTTGTTATTTACTTTCTGCTAACCAGCCCATTCTGTGAGCTGTGTTCCTCAAGAGGCTAGGAAAAATAAGTAAAAAAGCTCCTTCTACAATATTCTACACAATACAGTCCCTTTCAATTTTACAAAGACTCTTCAGCTCTTCTAGCTTCAGCTTTGGTCACTGCTTCATCTGACTTACAGATGCAGCTTTCCTCCCATGACAAAATACCCCGTCCTTTATATAAATTTGAAAATCCTGAGGCATCTCACTTCTGAGCACCCCCACTCTACTCGAGTGCATCCTAAAACCCCTAATAAGCCCTTCTTTGGCCTTTGACGGGTCCTAAAAATTCACTTCGCCCCATGAAGTCAAAAGGTGGGTTAAGTTCCTTATTTCAGCTTCAGGGACCTTCTCAGACCCAGTATGGTGACAGGTCCAAACATGGGGATTCATTGTATCTTTCTGTTTGTTCTTGTCTTCCAAATTTCCCTAGATAAAATGAAAATTAAATAAAAATATTTGACCTGAGCTCCAAAAAATATATATATATAAAAATACTTAAGATGTATCAATTATTAAAGAGTAATATATGTAAAAAATTATTGTTTCCTTAATATGATCAGTTATCTGTCGGTCTAGATTTCAGCTTCTTCATGGTTTTCTTTCTGACTTCCAAGTGAAAGGACCCTCTACTGTTCTCTACTATCATGCTATACTGTCACGTTACACATCTACTACCTGGCACAGTACCTGGTCATAGTAGATAGTCAAGAAATTCTCTTTCTTTTGCTTTTGAGACAGGACCTTACAATGTAGTTCGGGCTGGCCTTGAACTCAAGGTGATCGGCCTTGGCCTCCCAAATGCTGTGATTATAGCCAAGGCCACCACCACCAGCGTCTGGTAAATTCTTGAACAATGTGCTGCTCTCTGTGTTAGGCATTTTACATACAGCTGCCCACTGACCTCTCAGAAAACCCTGTAAGATAGGCATTTATTTTGGCCTGTCTGCTCACTGGGTAGCCCAGGCTGGCCTCCACCTCATGATCCTCCTACCTCAGCCTCCTGCATGCTGTGATTTCAGCTGTGTGCCACTGCTCCCAGCCTTATTTTCCTTTCATTAATGACACGGGCATGCTCAGGAAGGTTACATGACTAGCTCAAGATCATTCTTATAACAACCCAAAGCACATACAAAACGTTCCACTCACTGCCACTCTTAACCTGGTTGTGAATGATCTAGATTTCTATCACTAGAAAATTCTATGCTCACAATGCTATTTTTAAATAAAAACTTCCTGAAAATTATACAACATTCTAGGATTAAGGGAAGCTATAGATCATTTTTAACCCAATTAAACTATTGCTGTAATAACAAAAAAGATTATCATTCCACACAGGACCACAGGAGTATTCTTCCTTCTTAGGCAGAAAAGAAAATATTTCCTATAAATTTACAAGTTCATTTAAAACTGCCATCGGTTGGAATTTAAGGGATAGAACTCATTTCGTCAACACTCAACGTGAAACCGATGCGGACCTGGAGACTTTGGTTGACAAAACATTAGCGGTTGGTTATCTAGTTCATAGCCCTGGTTCACAGGCGAGCACCAACCACACGACTGATAAACATCTAAGAGCCAGTACTGGATGTGCCTGTGAAATGTCAGCACGAAAGCCACTAATCGTTAGTGTATAATCTGGTCCTACGAGCAGTTTTTGTTTCTGAGAGTCTAATTCGAAGAGATTTTTTTTTGTGGACATAGGTGACTGAAGGAATTTACAAGGGCGGCCAGGAGGGCAGCCATGATTCAGTCGATGTAGGCCCCGATGCCTGCACAGTCTCAGAAATTCACCCCCGGGACCATTACAAAAATGACTGGTTTATGTTCTAATGGCTCTGCAAAGAGTACTCCTTACTAATGAAGAGGGCGGTTTCCCAATTTAGGTCAGACAAATGTATTACACTTTAGCAGATACGCTTTTCTGATAACAGATAAAACTGGAATTTCTATCAGTTGTAAACAGTAATGATACTGAGACCTCATTTCTATTATTATTACCAGGATCAGCACTAGAAAATCAAGGTTGCAACTTTTCCACAGGCATTGAAACCTTTTTTCCGGAGTCCAGCCTAACTATACAGACCAGCCTGGTCTCAAGCTCATGATCTTCCCTCAGCCTCCTGAGTGCTGTGATAACAGGTGCATGCCACTTTTTTGTTTGTTTTTTGAGACAGAGTCTCGCTATATAGTTCAGGATGGCCTCAAACTCATGGCAATCCTCCTGCCTCAGCTTCCTGAGTGCTGGGATTATAGGTGTATACCACCACACCAGCTAAACTAAAAATATTCTTGAGTAAACTATCAAAGTCAAAATTTTAATAATATCCTAAGTATAAAGGCTCTCAAATAAGTATCTTTATTTTTCATTTTCTAAAATAGTGTTTCTAATTCCATTAATATTTCTTAGCTTTGGTACTCATCAAAATTTTTGAGCCTTGGGTAACAACAAAAATAAGTTCAACAGTGAAGAAATTTAAAATAATACATTTTAGGATATCTTCGTGTAGACAAAATATGGATTGTGATAAAGTATATAAAATATGGATTGTGACAAAGTATACACTTTAACAATAATTGATAAAGATTTACCATTCTTTTTGAGGGAACTCAATCTACTGTTTTTGGTTTGGTGTCATTTGTTTTTTCGTGGTGCTGGGGAATCAAACCCTGGCCTACATGCCAGGCCCTGATGTAGGCACAGCGCTCATCATCCAGACATCATTTTAAAACAAATAAACATATTTGCTGTAATATTCCATTATCTGGCAAGAGCCCAGTCCAACTGACTTTGCGTACTCCGACATAAAAGTACACATTCCACATGAAAATCAGTAAAGAACTGAGTTTATATTGAGTTAATGAAGTATAATCTATAACCAGATTCTGTTCACAATTTTAAGTTTCAAACCATCTTCTATGGCTTAAACCTTTTCTCCAAAAGTAATAACTAAAAGTATAGTCAACTTGGAGAATGACTACAATTCTGCTGGCTCACTGTAGAAGGTGCTAATGTGAGAAAACAAGGCTTATGGTTTGGCAAGGAGGAAACTGGCAGTTTGGAAGATAAGGTCCAATAAACTAATGGTTTCTCATTTCCAGGGCAGGAGAAGAGTTTTTAAAAAGATAAAGTCCTAGTTGACTGTCCAATTATCCACAAAGTTGTTTTTTTTTTTTTTTAAGTTTTCAAACTTACAGACTAAGCCATGCTAGGAAAAACATGTATATCATTTTTATTTTTATTTTCTCTTGCTCTCTTTCTTTTTGGTTTTTTTCAGACAGTGTCTCACTACATAGTCCAGGCTGGCCTTGAAAACTCAGGGATCCTCCTGCCTCCACCTCCGAGTGCTAGAATTATAGGCAAGTGTCACCATGCCAGGCTTTGTTTCGTTTTTTAATGTCCTTCATGATCCAATGATTAGTAAGGTTTGGGGAGACTGGAAATCATGAGACATTACTCAGAATTTATTCCTGTCGAAATGCAGATTACCACTGTAAATTAAGGGTGCCTTAATTCTCTACAAGGTGTCTTATATCACTAAACTGTTTATTTTTATTTTGTGGTATGGGGCATTTAACCCAAGGCCTCACGCCAGGCAAGTGCTCTACCACTGAGCTACATTCCAGGCACTTTTTATTTTATTTTAGGACAGGATTTTGCTAAATTTCCCAGGTTGGTCTCAAGCTTGCAACCCTTCTGCCTCAGCCATTTGAGTAACTGGGATTATAGATGCCTCTGGCCATAAGACTATTGGAATCAGCTATAAAACAGGAAGATGATCAAATGTGTCTATCGGGATAAAGATTTGGTGTCTAAATGTTCGCGGCAGTTTTCCTTGCTGAATTATGATTGATATTTCACCCTATAATCTGGTCAAAATAAATAATTATCTAAACCATGTATGCATCAACCAGCTTAAGGCAACCTCACAAATGAGTTAACAGTCCTTTTTTAAAAATTTGGTGTTTATCATTCACATATATGGTCTTATCCTTCTTTTATATTTATACTTTTTTTTTTACTTATACTTTACTTCATATTTATGTACTCCTAAGCATGAATTATTCTGTACAGACTTAAAAGTACACAGCTTTCTAAAACTTGCTTCCTTTTAAATGATTCTAGAATTTACTCATGATCGTTTTCATTACTGCTTATACAAATACAAATATATCAAAAATCATTTATTCTCCTTCTGTTAGTGGAGGCTATTTCCAACTTCTCAGTATTCTAAACTATTCTATAATGAATGATATCGTGTCTCCTTACATTTCTGACTAGAAATTTTTAACTTCCAGACTTTAGTAAGCCAACAGCTAGCAGGGCAAACTTCACATTTACCCATAGATCTGTCTTTATCTCAGCTGATGAAAGATAAGAAATTATTTTGACATCCAAGACAAGCTGTTTCTCAAGACTTTGAGAGTGCACTGGAATTTGCCCTTGGCCTTTTTCTTTTGCTTTTGGTGGTACTGGGAATTGAACCAGGGCCTCACGCAGGCCAGGAAGAGCTCTGTGGCTGATACATCCCCAGTCCTGACTCGCCCTTTTCAACTACAACCTGATCCTACGGGACCAAACCTGAGTAAAATTTAGTCCAGGGTTAGCTCTGTCAGTAATTTTTACAACAGGAAAATGACCAGTTTCTCACGGGATTTAAGCTAATTCTTAAGTAAACCAAAAAGAGTTAATTGTAACATAGGTCATGATTCTGCTTATTTCCAACATCTGTCCCATGTCCTATCATGTGGCTGACAGATTTTTCTGAATAATTTAGTGAAAAGCTTACTAATCAAATTTGTACACTTGCACCTGGAGAAATGGTCGCCAGGAAGGTAGTCCGACTTTAAGACCCTGCCAATCCTAGCCAGATGTGAAATGCTTCGAAGAAATATTACTGAGGGTTTTTTGTTTGTTTTGCTTTGTTTTTTTTGCATTACTGGGGATTGAGCACAGGACGTCTGCACTGAACTGCATCCCAGCTCTTTCTGTGTTTTTTATTTTGAGACAGGATCTTGGTAAATTGCCCAGGCTGGGTTTAAACTTGCAATCCTCCTGCTTCAGTTCACAGAATGCTAGGATTATAGGTGTGTACCACCAGATCTGGCAAGGATTTTTCAAAGTACCTTACAAAAGCCCTTTTTAATTGTACTGAAGTCAGGCAAAACATAGTCTACCATTACTGTATTGTCTTCTCCTTTCAACCTGTAAGACAAAATAAAAGAGATTTATGAAATACTTTAATTACGAGAAGCATCATCCAAAAATCAGCTTTCCAATTCTTAGATCCTTATACATACTTTGCAATATCCATGTCTCTATAAAAATCCTGAGACACATAGCACACATCTTCTTTCACTTGATTAATAACATGTGTTTCATCCATAACATGTAGCTGTCTAGAAGAAATAAACATTATAAAATTTGAAATGGGAAAAAAATAACATAATTAACATTTCAATTATTTTTTTCTGGAATTAAAATTTGGGGTAACTGATTTTTTTTCAAATATTAAATTCTTTTTTTTTTTTGAGACAGGGTCCTGCTATGTTGTTCAGGCTGGCCTTGAACCCCAAAAGCCCACATGTTAAAGGATTGGTCCTCAGTCAGGTGCTTCCAGGCAGTGCTGGAGCCTTTGGGAGGCAGGGCCTGGGGGAACTCAGGTCACTGGGGGCGTGGTGGGAAGGGGACATTGAGATGCCAGCCCCTCTAGGTCCTCTTTGCTTCCCAGCAGCAAGGAGGGAACTCTTCCACCGAGTTCCACAGTAATACACTGCTGCTACAGCCCAGAGCAGCAGGGCCCAGTGACCATGGACTGAAACCTCCAAAATCATGAGCCAAAATCAACCTTTTCCTTTAGTAAGTTAATTATGTCAGGTATTTTGCTACATTAACACAAAGCCAACCATCAACACAATGTAGTGTTTCAGTTTGCTTCTCAGGTTTGTTTACCTTAGTTTTGTTGACAATACAGAAGTTTTAAAACTGTTTTTGGAGGAGGCAGTACTAGGGATTGAACCCAGGCCCCGGGCTGCCTGCTTATTTATTTATTTATTTATTTATTTTTGAGGCAGAGTCTTGCCATGTAGTCCAGGCTGGCCTTGAACTCACTGTGTAGCCTAGGCTTGCCTCAAACTCACAGTGATCCTCCTGCCTCAGGCTCCCAAATGCTGGGATTACAGGTGTGTTCCTTCACTATTTATATGTATGTGTATATATATATATACATTTTTTTAAAGACTTTATCTTGTTCTCTTTGAACTTTGCTTTGGTTACATGGGTGTGTTCATTGTTTGAAAATTCACTGAGCTGTACTTTCATGATGTCCATACTTTTCTGTATGTTTTACCTCAGTAAAATTTTTTTTTTTTTACAGTTGTGTGTAAGAATACATATCCAGGGCCGGGGATTTAGCTCAGTGGTTCCGCCACCTGCTGTGCAAGCGCAAGGACCCGAGTTCGATCCCCAGTACCAAAAAAAAAAAAAAAAAAATACATATCCTTTGTTATTTTTTCACTGTTTTTTTTTTTTGGTACTGGGGATCGAACTCGGGTCCTTCTGCTTGTGAGGCAGGCAGCAGAACCACTGAGCTAAATCCCCGGCCCTTTTCACTGTTTTTATGGTTAGCACCTTAAATTTATTTTAATTTTTTGTGGTACCAGGAATGTAACCCAAGTTCTTTATGCTGAGCTATATCCCCAGCCCTTTTTCTTTTGAGACAGGGTCTTGTAAGTTGCCCAGGTAGAAAATGAACTTGTGAATCTCCTGGTTCACCCTTCCAAGTGCTGGGATTATAGATAGGTATGCACAACTTAAATATATTCTTTTTGTGGTTTTTGTTTGTTGTATTTTTTGGTTTTCCGAGACAGGGTCTCACTTTGCAGTTCAGGCTGGCCCTGAACTCACTGTGTAGCCCAGGCTGGCCTCAAACTCTTGGCGATCCTCTTGCCTCAGCCTCCCGAGTGCTGGGATTACAGGTGTGTGCCACCATATCCGGCTTTGCTGTAGTTTTTATACGTCTTAAATCCTCATGTCTGAACCTCCTCTCCCTTTTGATTTGCTATTTCTAATCTGACTAAGGTAGGGAATTAAATAGTCAAACTTTCTGAAACTGACCCCAGATATATTTGGTTCTACAGTGAACAACATCCACATAACCACATTATAAATGCTATTTATGAGCTCTCATAAATGCTATTTATGAGCTCTCATGAGCTTTCATTTATGTTATGAAAAACAGTATATAGATGTTATAAAAAGAAATGGTGCCAGGTACGATGGTACACGCCTGTGATCCAAGCACTCGGGAGGCTGAAGCAAGAGGACTGCAGGTTGGAGGTCAGCCAGGGCTACCCAGAGTTCAAGGCCACCCTGGACTAGAGACTCTCTCAAAAATAAAGGAGATGGATTGGGTGGAGGAGGAGAAAGGCAAAAAAGAGGAGGAAGAAAAATGGCACAGCATCAGATTAATGAAAAAGTCCTTCTCTAAAGGTTGCACACTATATTATTCTGTCCCGTAACATTTTTTTTTTTTTGGTAACATTGTTGAAATAACAAAAATAGACATGGAAAGCAGATTAGCAGTTGCTAGGAGACAGGAATGAGATTGCAGAGCAAATATAAAGGGGTAATAAAAGCATTCCTTTATGAAGGTACAGTTCTGTCTTGATTGTGGTGGTTACACAAATCAATACATAGGATGAAAGGGCACTGAACAGTGTTTAAATGAATGCATGTAAAAATGGGTAAAAACTGAATAGGATCTGCAGCCTAGTTAACAGTGTTATACCAATGTAGATATCATTATTTTATTTGGTACTACGGTTATATAAGATGTCACCTGAGAGCGTACCAGTCCCTTGACTATACTGGTTTTGTTTTTTTGGTACCGGGAATTGAACTCAGTACCTTGTACTTGCAAGGCAGGCATTGACTATACTGGTAATGGTGAACCTTTTCGAGACCGGGTGCCCAAACTGCAATCCTAAATCCACTTATTTATTGCAAAGTGCCAACACTGCAATTAAGCCCGAATACTGAGGTTTTAGCTTAGAAAAACCAACTCGTACAACTTGTGATGTCATCACAGAGATGGCTCTGCGTGCCCATCTTAGTACCATTCTTGCAATGTCATGGAGCCTGTAATTATTTCAAAATAAAAAATTGTTTTTAAAAGTACTAGGGCTATAGGTGCCCATCAACAGATGAATGGATAAAGAAAATACAGTGTATATCTACAGTGGAGTATTATTTAGAAAAAAAAAAAGAAATGAAAAGAAATAGATGGATCTGGAGATCATAAAGAGCAAAATAAGCCAGACTGGCAGCCACCTGCCTCGCAAGTGCAAGGTCCTGAGTTAGATCCCCAGTGTCAAAAGAAAATAAAAAGCCACACTGGGAAAGACAAATGTTGTGTGTTCTCCCTAAGACGTAGAGTCCAAAAAAGATGATGTGCAAGCAGAAGGGAAACTGTTATTAGACAAGGGGATAGGAATAGCAGGAAGGGGTATAAGGCCGGTACTGGGGGAATGATATGATCAGAATATACACACTGAAACCCTTCGTGTGAAACTAGTGCGCAGGGCAGGGCAAAGGAGGCAACAGGGGGTTGAAACGATCAAAATATGTTATGTATATGTACGAATCTGACAACGTGAAACCCATCAATCTGTACAACCAATATGCATTAATAAAAAAAGGTGTGAAATAAACAAAAAGTACTAAGACTAAGCTGGGTGCGGGCCATGCACCCATAATCTCAACTACTTGGGAGGCTGGGGCCAGCTGGGAAAACTTAACAGGACTCTATTTCAAAATAAAAATTTAGGGGCCTGGGATTTAGCTCAGTGGCACTGCACCTGCCTGGCAAGTGCAAGGTCCTAAGTTCGATCTCCAGTACAGAAACAAACAAACAAACAAATAATAATTTAAAGGGGAGTGGCTAGGGATACAGCTCAGTGGTACAGCACTTGCCTAGCATGCCCAAGGCCCTGGGTTCCACCCATTGTGCGAGGAAAAAATCCTAAGACTGGAGGGGATGGGAACTGGGGATGAGGGCTAAGGCAGGGGTCCCTTTTTTATTTTATTTTATTTTATTTTTTTGGTACAAGGGATTGAACTCAGGTCCTTGCGCTTGCGCAGCAGGTGGTGAAACCACTGAGCTAAATTCCCGGCATGAGGTCCCGTTTTTAAAGAAAATGTTCTAAAATTGACTGTGGTACTGGTCGTGGTGGTGTACAACTATAATGGAGGATCGCTGTGAGTTCAAGGCTAGCTTGGGCTACACAGCGAGACTCTGTCTCAAAAAACCAAAATAAAAAAATTATATAATTGATTATGGTGATGGTGTACATATTAAAAGCCAGTGAAACCAGATACTTTACATGAGTGAAATTGTATGATATGTGAACTATATATGTGAATTATATGGTATGTGAAATTTATATCCATAAGCTATTTTTTAAAAGGCTTGCAAAAGGAAATGCAGATTTACTTATTTTCTCATAGAAAACACAAGGTAACAAAGAGACACTAACAGTAGCTTACCATTCAAAGTTAATATTTCAAGAAACTGAGATTTAAGAATGCTATTTGAAGCCAGGCATGGTGGCACAGGCCTATAATCCCAGCACTCAGGAGACTGAGTCTGGAGGATTGCCCTGTTCGAGGCCAGCCTGGGCTACATAGCAAGATAAGATGCTGTCTCAAAAAACAAGCACATAAAAAAACCACTTAAATGTTTATACACAATGAAACTAAAAGTAGTTGCCCAAGTAAAATTCAAGATAATTCAAGATGCTGGAGAAAGCTGGAAGATGGCCAAGTGCACTAAATTTCTCATCAAAAGGATTAAAAAATAGTGGATTATCAATATTGGTTAATCAAGAAAGAAATATCATACATTAGTAAGGCTCAGAGATCTTAAAACCATAAAAACAGATATAATTCAAATACTACACTTTGTGTGGAGTGTTCTGACATGAGAGGAGATCTATTTTCCTTTTTAGATCCTTTTTCTCTATATGGATTTTTGTTACTCTATTCAATTGCATATAGTTCTGCAACTGAAACATCACAAGTATTTATGTGTTTTTAAGCAACAATAAAGAATTGCTGTTTGTAGTTACAACTAAAAGTAAAAAAATTCTTTTTAATTACTTTATAAAGTTCGTTCCTTTTACCCTCCCATCCTCCCAAAGAATCAAAAGCAAGTGTTACCTGTACGAGATGATCTCCTTTAGGTGGTTGGTTAAGAGCTTTCCGCCCACATTTATCCTAAAAGAGGAGAATTCAACTTTGGTTCAGTTATCACACATTTCATCCTAAGAAATAACATGAGATAAGAAAAAAAGAATTAAATGCAACTCACCGAATAATTGCTTCTTTTTTCTTTTTACTTCTACAATACGGAACTATATGTGTAAAAGAATATCCACTGTCTACAATAATACAGCACAACTCAGAAGGGTTGTCTCGGAAATACCTATGTGCACTGAGGGTCCCCGCTATCAAAAGAAAGCAAGAGAGAAAGAACATTTTAAATAAAAGTATACCATTTAAAGCAATAAAGAAAACTAAGGCAGGCAGAAAGTTCCCATTAACTGTAAGAAAAATGTTAATTGATAGTAATATTCATTAGCTGTCACAAGATCTTCATAATGTTTAAACTTCTAAAGTTCACACCTATGTGGTAAATATAAAAAAAAAATTCAAGATCGGTTGTTTTGTTTGCTCAGAACTGGGGACTGAGCTCAGGGCCTTCATGCTGACTCACATCCTTGACCTTTTTTTAATTTTTATTTGAGACAGGTTCTCACTAAGTTGCTCAGGCTGGGCTCAAACCTGTGACCTTCCTGTCTCAGACTCGTAGGGTGCTGCCTTGTGATGAGTTTTTAAAGATAAATTTCATGGCTTTTAACAATCCTATGACAGCAGTTAATTTTCCCCAAGCACTTACATGTCAGGCTCTATTCTAAACTCTACATAAGGGGTGTGTACGGTACAGCACATACTTTCATGTCACAGCAATACCATTTTACAGATGAGAAACCTGAGGCACAGCAAAGGGAAACCATGTGCCCCAGCCACACAATTAGGAAGTGGCAGAACCAGGATTTCAATGTGGACAGTGTGACTTCAAAGCAGGTCTCTCAACTGGGGACTACTGACATTCTGGGTCAGTAACTCCTTTCGGGGGCTTTCCTGGGGATTAGATGTTTAGCAACATCGATAACCTCTACCCACTAGATGTCAGTAGTCCCTGCCAAGTGTAACACCTACAGATGTCTCCGATGTCCCCGGGAGGAAAATCACCAGGGCTGAGGAGCCTCCTGCACATTATGCTCTTTTTTTTTTTTTTTTTTTTGGTACCAAGGATCGAACTCGGGACCTTCCGATTGCGAGGCAGGCGGCGGATCCACTGAGCTAAATCCCAGGCCCTAGATTATGCTCTTAACCACTGCCATGTACTGTTGCTTATAAGGGCATAAATCCTCGAGCAAATTATTTAAATACTTCCATTGGACACTCAGGTAATGCAATCGTAGCCTTTAGCAAACTTGTTTCTCAATATTTACTGATTGCTTTCCCTCATTCTGGCAACCGAAGTTATTAATATTAATGAAAACATTAATAATAATGGCAAGCCCAAGCTGGGTGTGGTGGTGCACATTTGTGATCCTAGCACTCAGGAGGCTGAGGCCCAAGTTCAGTCCAGCTTGGGCTACACAGTGAGTTCAAAGCCAGCCTGAACTACATAGCAAGACCCTGTCTCAAAAACAGTAACAAAACAAAAAACCAATAGTAAACCCGTGAATGACAGAAAGGATAACTAGCTCAGGCTAATCTTAGATAGTATTATCCATATAACAGAATTTCAATGAATACTTTAACTTACCATTTACTCTTAATACTGCTTGAAACTGGTATTCTTCAAATAGAATTTCATTCATTGATTCTTGAATTGAAGTGAAGTTAAAATACGGTTCTGTGATAATAATATTAGTATCTAAAAAATCAACCTAAGAAAAAAAATCCCCAAAAGTTTCATAATTTGTAGTGACTATCATCATCACTTGTTTTACACAGATAAAAAAATTATTTAACCCTCACAATAATCCTGATGATCATCCGCATTTAATGGACGAGCAAACTGAGGCAGAGAAAAGTTGAATAAGCTACTTAGGGGCTTAGCTAGAATTTGAACCCAGGGAATCTAAATACAGAATCCATGTACTGCTGGGCACAGAGGTGCACACCTGTAATCTCAGCTATTCAGGCAGCTGAGGCAGGAGGGTGGAAAAGTTCAAGGGCAGCCTGAGCAACTTAGCAAGACCATGTATTAAAA